CCTTTTATAACTATTGTTTGCTTTCTTTCTTTCTTTGTCTTGCTGTTTGCAGATCCCATTGCACTTGTTTGGGTCCACTTTGTATTTAGTAAGCCAACAATTTTGAAAGCTTTTTTGTTTTTCAATCTGATGGCTTAAGTTAAACTAACAAAACACCAGATAACAGACCCCAGAGACTACTTTCCTCATATAGGCCCTTTCTTAGGGGAAAAAAAATATGCTTACAGCATAGTTTCCAAAAACTACGATTCCTATAGTAGAGTATATTGATTATTTTATTTTAAGCATCAATTTAAGACATTGCACTGCCAAAAATAAAATAAAATAAAATAAAATTAGGTTCCTGGCTCTTAGTCAGTCCTTCAGATCACAGAAGTCCTTTATATCTACTAAAGATAATAACACATCATTTTATCTGAAGAGTTCAGAAGTTGAACGGAACCATCTCGACAGATACCTATGACTCTTACCTGCTTTCAGAAACTGAATCACCCAGCTCAAATGTGAATGTTTATGATCAGACCGCATCCCCAGTGCTAGATGCTAGATTACTTAGCTGCTATTTCAAAACTGAGGAGCTCTGAGAGAGAAGGAATATTTAATGTCTGCTGCCATCCTAATTCAAGTGGAATTTAGCAGTCTGTAAATATTTACAGATTAGAGATGCAGCCACAGAAGCATATTTCTCTAAGAAGCATAACATACCAAGAATGTGCTTTTATTTGCATGACATGACTATTTTATTATCCTCTACAGTAAATGAGGAAAAGTTGGATTATTGTTGTTGAGTAGGAAGTGCAAGATGCAGTTATAGAGATACATATATATATATATATATATATATTTTTTTTTTTAAACCAAAAATATCATTTCTCCAATAGCAGCAGAAACCTCTAAAGCTCTCCTAGAGCACTTCGGAAAGTTGCTTTTCTTTTCCTTCTCATGAGCTCATGAGCTTTTTTTTTGTAGAAGATTTTCTCTCTTTCTTAAAAAAAAAAAAAAAAAAAAAAAAAAAAGAATGTACCTTGAGGTGTATTATATCCTAAAAAAACAAATGATAGTAAGGCAATTGTCAAGCATTGATTAACTATGAAAAATCAACAAGTATTTTTAACTACTACATTCTGCTCTCAAAAACCCTGTGCAGGACAACACTGTGGCCACTGTAAGAAATGCCTCCATGGACTACAGCAGTTATTTTGTAGTAATTTGCAGTTTCTAGTGTAATCAACCCATTCTTTTTGCAGATATAAACACTAAGTCCCTAATTTATGGTACTGTTTATATGGAGCGCTCTTGAGAATAATGCTGCACTTCAGTATGAGAAATTGAGCTGAGAAAAATGGATTTTGTTGACCTCCAGGCCACATTTCAGGATTACGTTAAGGAGAGGTTTGGGATTTTGAAATACATAGAAGCTGTTCAAGGAGGCTGTATGTTGAACATCTGAATGTTCAAACCAATTTTCAGGAACTGCTTAAAGAGCTAAATGCAAACTTGCATCCTTACCATGAGAGTTGCCAGTACAGATCTATTACCATTCCTGTTGATATTTTACACAGGAATCGTAGTGCTCCCAGCTCAGCAAAGCTGAAAAGTTGTGCTAAAAGCATCTCTTCCTATTCCTACAGTTTTTCAATGGAGCAAAGAAAGAGCCAAAATAAATTACCAGAGCTATCAAATTCTGTATTTTCAGATTTCAGTTGAATTTCAAGAAATGCAGCACTATCAGAGAAATCCTGCAATGTTTTACAGTTTAGTTCAAAACAGGTCTATTCTGAATTACAAATTTGTTCATTCTGGTTTTAAAAATTCTTACATTTGGTAATATATATATATACTGACTATAAAAAGTGCCATTTTTAGCTCTAATGCAAAAATGTCAGTATCAATTTTAATGGCTGAAATAGCCCTAAAAATGAAACCAAACCAATCCAACCATGCTGTGGAAATACCTTAACAAGATCTATCTGTTTTTCCATACTAGTGATAGCCACAATAAAATGAGAAAACAAGATGAACAGATCAAAATATCAAAATGAATGATGCTATAACATCAGTAAAATAGAATAAAGTAAAATAAAATAAGGCATTTGTTAAATGTTCTCACTGAAAGACTTATAATACCAGAGTAATGCCAAGAAGAGCACACAGTGATGAGAGAACATGACAAAATAGAATGAAAGAAGATTGTGGGCAGAAAAATATAGAGAAAATCGAAAAAAATTGCCATGAAACCTTAAGGAAACTATATGAAGTTGACATAAGACAAAACCCGACAAATGTTCTGAAGATTAATAACACAGAAAGTTTTCCTTAAACAACAAGAATTCAGCATTAAAGAGTTGAGTATATTTGGTAACCCACAAAAAGGAAATTAGGAAGGAAAGCATGGACAACATTCAGCTGCTAACATTCTGACAAATAATGCAAGTGATAAACTTATCTTTCTGGTGAATTTTCAGGTGTTTAGAGTCGTATGGACTTGTTAGCGTAGAGCTGTAGCAGTTAAGTCCCCAGCAGCAGTAAGTTGGCTTTGTAGGAAGCACGTGGGCCTGCTTTCCTTTCCTTCCAGGAACCCCAGTTCAGTGCCTCCTCACCCTCTGTGGGTCTGAAGCATTGGCAAGGAGGGAGGTCACTGTATATAAATAAGTCCAGGGAGCACATTTCCTTGGAGTACGGAGGAAAGCCATGAGTGTGGCATGCATTTGGGGAAGTGAAAGTGAGAAAGCAAGGCCGTGGGGAGAAATAGGCACGACACTTAGCTGACTAAGCATGAAGATATCAGGAGAAAACCAAAATGGCATGGAGATGAACAGTGGAGACTTGGGGATGAACTTCTGCCTCTTCTGAGAAAAAGACGAGGAGAGGGGAGAAATACTGTATCATTAAAAAAGAAACTCGGTAGCCAAAGAAGCACTTCAAATTCATTACTTGTTTTAATATCAGGTCATAACAGTACAGAGCTGTCTTCTGGAGGCAGACTCTGAACATCTGCTCCCCTGACAGGTTTTTCAAAGACACTGCCGTTGGTTCTTGCTGCTTGCTGGGCAAGCAATTCTACACAATATCAACAGGGTGAGGCACTTCTGTTTGAGAAATGTTCCTATATATAGCAATCACAATGTGCATCATACTGTTGAATCTTAGGAACATACAGAGAGGTGCCTATGTGACATCTATTTTATAAAACGTAAGCTATGGTCAGAGCACAATAATAGGGGAGAGGAGAGGAGAGGAGAGGAGAGGAGAGGAGAGTAAAAGCAAAAAACAGAAAAGAAAAGCAAAGACAGAAGAAGAGTGTTAAG